CAAGACACCAATAACAGAACAATTGAACCTGCTCCACAATCCTACTGAATCAACTGTCACCACCGTCTCAAGCTCTCTCAGGTCTGGTTGGGCGCAATCAACACTAGCCCTGGCTTCGCCAGTGGCCACTGCCCCTTGGGACAGCAAGTGGGATTTCTGAACATAATAAATTCACTCCTTCTGATGACGTGTGTCTTTTAACTTCCAACCTGAGATTTGGCCTGATGATTGTAGTGATCCTAGTACAACCCACTACTTAGACCCCTAAAAAGTAACCGAAATCATAAGATCTGAAGTTTCTGAAAGAGCCATATGCGATCATCAAAAGAGCCATATATGGCTCGTGAGCCATGGGTTGCCGACCCCGGGGCTAGTCGCTAGCTCCGAGAGCCAGCTTCTGTCGCAGATAACCTCGACTAAGGATGTTTCAATCAATGATCATTTGTAAGTCCATACTAGAATCACCAGCAGACCACGTCCGCTCACACAGTGGCAAAATTAACAAGTATTAAATAGTAACAGATAACCAGTGCAGCGTGGACTAGACTGTCAATTAGGCAGAAACGGGGTTTTCCAGTTTGAGAAGCAAGTGGTTTAACCACAAAGCTTTTTCACTAAGCACCATCCATCCAGAAAGTGAAATGATTGCTTCTGCAGGCTAATAAACTGGCCAAAGAGATGACCTCCGCGTCGGGGCGGAGGCTTGCACGCAGGAGGCCGCGTTTAATGTTTGCCATTTCGGTTGGTGTATTTACCTCTGCGTAGAAGATGCATTGCGTAATGTTAAGGCTAATGGAGTTTAACCCTAACGGCTGCGATCTTCCAGGCCCGGTTAGTATGAATAGAGTATTCTGTACAGACGGAAAGGAGAATCGTTAGGACGAAGTCTTGACTGCCGGAACGCACGTTTTGCCGCGAGGCGGGCTAGGTCCGGAGTATAGTCTAGTGGCAGTAATCCGGGCGGCCACCGAAATTTGTCTCTGTCCCGGTCAGCCTTGATGGTAATTGGTCAGACCGCGAAATCGCGTGTTTGTAGGTCGCGCCAGACATTGAGCGAAAGATAGCCAGGGTGCGGGCAGTCAGCGTGATTGTAGCCTTGGCATGTTGAGTCAGCGATCACGGGTTCTCACAGTGGCGCTAACGCCCACTACAGGATGCGACCGTTGAAACATGGTGTCAATTGGCCTGAACTTTCGGGATCTGTCTCGGACCCATCATCAGAGACAGCTGCACCCTTTTGTGCG